CATACCCCCAGCAGGAGTGTGGTAGTGTCCAGGACCATGGTCATAATGTCCTGAGCACCAGTGAATGGGAAATCTAGAGATTCGCCCGATCTCAGGATTACCCTCGGCGTCCAAACATGGCTTCCCATCCTCGTCCACCACAATGGCCTATTCGAACAACGAATCTAAGTCCGTCTGGGTAGACGGTTGCAATATATACCACTTGTCTTTAAAATCTCGCACGGAGTCCATGTACATCCTAAACAGCCTCTTCGATTGCTTAAGGGACACCCAATTGTGCTTCCCTCCTCGGGACTGTCGTTGTAAGTGAAAAACCCTGAAGAACAGGGGAATCGTCGCCCCAATCTTCATGAAGCGACAAGTGAGCTCGAATGCCCGGAGAAAGGCAATCGCGTTAGGATGGAGTTGGGAGGGGGTCAGATTCAGATGGTTGAATACCCCGACCTGGAAGTCATTGAAGGGAAACCAGAGCCCGAGATCTCTGAAGAGGATCTCGTACACAGGAAACGCATCTTACGTGAACTCCGAACAGATGCAAGCATCCCTCGACAATCGCATAATCTTGAAGTTCCTTCGAAATCCCTCTTGACCGCTGCCATACTCGACGACGGTATAGGTTTGTCTACTGGGGAGGCTATAAACCGAAGCTATTCCCCAGGGTTCAGCACCAACCCAATCCAGAGTGGGATCATCGACGATGTCAACCAGGGTAATAGTTTCCTCCACTGTGCTTGGTTCGTCGACGTCATTACGCCCTGAGGACTCGGGAATGTCGGCCATTTACCTGCAAAGTACAGGAAACCGGTGAATTCGACAGCAAATCCGCTTGCCCTCCACAAAGACGGGGAGAAGTAAGCAATACTCAGATCGAATCTACGGTCGTTCGCACGAGAAACGGGAAACAAGTGGATCTCGACCAAACACCGACCCCCAGCGGGAGACGCACATCAATCATGAACGACGCGAGCATAACATGAGTATCCCGGGCGAAGCATGAATCCCGCGACCAAGTTCATAATTTTGCTGGCCCGGTACAAGAATACTACGGGTAAACTAGCCTACGTACTAACGAAAGGATGAATCTCCCGACCAGGTTCATTAATCTACTGGCCAAACGCATGAGTGTCGCGGGCACGATCATGAACCGTATGCCTAAACTTATGAATATCCCAGGCACAACCATGAATCAGGCGCCTAGCGCGCTTAAATCTATCGGGCATAGTCCCCAGACACAAGATTCTACTACTAAAACGTCGTCAAATCTACCTACAACACAAAAAATCAAAGGGAGAAGACACTTACTTGGAAGAAGATTTGAAAAGCGACAGTGGTGGAAGTAATCGGACGGCAAACGACGCGGCGGTCTCAGTGACGTTATGAAAACTCACGAGAGTGAAAACAGAGAAAGTGTGAGAAGCGTAAAGAGGTGAAACAGACTATGGGCCCTAGAGCCCTATTTATAGAGATGACATGGAATATGAAACGTCGCACCGGGGAACCACGAACCGCCCCCGTCCTCGACGCCTACTTGCATAGATAATGATGGTCCTATTCCCTAGGTCAGCATTGTGGTTTCCAAGAGCCGCACCACGTATCTGACTGATGCATCACCACCTCCCCATAAAATTCCTCGAACGCTCCTCGATCGCTGCACGGGGAAAATCACATACCGGGCGATGTCTGTTCTCTCCGGTTGAAAGCCCCTGTGTCGCGCAAGCGAGTCTCGCGGAAGAACGAATTTGAGTCAAGTCACAACTCCCGTACCAGGAGCAACGACTTGGGGGGCTTCTGTTCTGGACCGGGCCTGCCCGTGGCCCAATTACCAGCGAGGCCCAATCCAAGCTTTACAACATACCATGCTGAGTATAAGACTCCCCGACACATCTCGATCATGGGTGTCATCGAATACAATTGTGCCTACCGGTGACCGCGAAGAGTGTCCCCGACGAGGGACGTCCCAGAAGAGGAACATCCCAATCTAGGCCCTGCTCGAGCACACTCCTCGTACGGAAGACTCTCAACCTCTCCGAATATCTCGGAGTCCTCAGGGTCCCGGGACGATCGCGCCTTCACCTTCCTATTCTGTGGAGAGCATCATCCAGGTAGGGGACCACGTGCAGGTCCCCACTACTCCACGTAGAACCTGACAATCCATTTGTTGGGCCTGTTTGGTTAGCCCAGTAAAGGGACCTTGGCCCAGCGCTGAGGGCTATAAATACCCTTTATTTCAAGAGGATCAAATATTCATTTCATACACACCTATATACTACTTGTCTGCTCATTCCGTCTCTCACATTATCATCGGAGTGTCTTGCAGGTACCCTCCATCTCCTTCAAATCTAATTCAAACCAGTTGTGACGGTCCAACTCTGATCAGGTATGATCAATAATTAACCATAATATTTATTCTTTCTCTTAAATTGTACTTTTTTTTTGTTAAATAGGTTTTAGTTTATGGTTGAAAGACAACTTAATTTAATTTTAATGGAATATTTAATTTAGTGTCACTAATATGTTTTTTGAAATTAAACTTAATCATATAGAAATTTTTTTATTTTATATATATATTCTTTTTTTAAGGAAGTTAAAAATAATATCACATTATTATAAAAATTATTCCTTATCATAAAATTGTTATCTAACACATAAAAAAAATTAGTCTCATTAAATAAAAATTGAAAACATATTAAACAATAGTTATATCTATCAATTTTATTTAAATATAATGTTCATTTTGAAAATATTTAACATATTAACTGCAATTACAAATACTATTAAAATATAACTAATAATATTAATATTTTAATTTATACCAAAAAAATATTAATATTTTATTTTATGATAAGATTTTAGTATTATTGTACAAATATTTTTATATTATACACTCATGATTACAATAGTACATTGTAAAGTGAGATACGAAATCAAATCTATAAAAATATATTAAATTAATTTTTTTGATAATATAATAATTATTTTGTGCGTACTTTTAAAATATAAGGATGTTAGAACAAAAACTTGTGCAATTGTAAAAATTAATCTCTCAAATAAAATTTATACTGTTTTATATTTTTCTAATATATATATTTAAATATATAACTATTTATTATTTAAGTATGATACATGTAATTTTTTAATAAGTAAAAAATAATTATATTTTTAAAAATATCCATTCAAATTATTCATATGAGTAAGGGGATAAACAATTTAAATTGTAAGGTTTTTTTGGTAAAAAATTTAAGTTTAAATCTATTAAAGTGAAACATTCATTTCACTATCCAAACGATAAATTTATAATAAAAAAATTACAAATATTTGTTTTTAATCAAAAAACACGGGACATTAATTTGATAAGATAATTTTAATATTACAAAAATTGATACAATAAATTAATTAAAAGTTAATTTTGAATTATAAATAGTTACTTATAAATAAATAATAATTAATAGATTTTAATTTGATTTTTAATTTTGACATTAATTAACAGTTTTTTGAATTGTGTTAGAAATAAATAAAAAATTATTAAAAATATACATTTTAATATAATATTGTCATGCATGACATTGAAAACTGCATGAAGTTTTTTAGCTACTAATAATCATATCTCTTACATATTCCATTTATATTTAATGTACTTCTTTATTCTCTATATTAATTAATTTAATCTTCAACAATATATTATTTTTAAATTGAATGAAAATAAGAACTTTCTCCTTCAGGTCTTAATACTATTTTTCTAAAAAGGACAATAATTGAATGATAATAAATGATATCTAAATTTTAATTTATAAAATAAAATTAGTATTATTTTTATAATAAAATATTATAACTTAAACCAAAAAAACATATGATAATTTCGGTTATGTGAAAATATGTAGATATTGATTATTTTTTTATTATTCTTTTTTATTTGTTTTGGAGTCTGTATTGTGTCATGAAATCTCATTAAAAGTCAAATTTTAATGTAATATTAGGATTTGTCTTTTCATTTACCATCTTAAATAGTCTTTTCATTTATCAATGCGAATTGCATACCTATATTAAGATTTAGGGTTTAAATTTTGAAACTTAACTAGGTTTATATTGATTTTCTATTAGATGATAAAATCATATAGTATCAATAACATTCATAAATTTACAATACAGAAGAATTTAAAAATTATAGACATGTGTGACTGACCAAATCTATTTTTCCAACAGTCCCATAAAATATATACTTAAATTGAACAGATATTAGAGATCATATGTTTAATGACTTGTGAAATACTATATCATATAACTTCTAAATTATTACACAAATTTAACAAATATAATATTATTCAATTCACTAAATCTAATCAAATTACTATCAATTTTAGTTTGTTATTAAACCAATATGTTTTTTTAGTTTATTTTATAATGATTGTTAATGGAAATTGTAAAATTAAAATTATGGACATGTTCGACGGATCAAATATGTTTTTCCAACATATATTTGATTTAATCATCATTGAAATCTTATTTTTTCTGTTAATTCGTTATATTTTTATATAATTTTTTTAACCATAACTATATAATATTTATGTAATATTTATATCGACTTTATGCGATCTAGGCGAATATATTAGTTCTATACACTTCTTAACCATCATCATATCATTTTTATTTAATATTTATAACATATTGCATAATCATGTAAACACACGAGTTTTCGCACATATCTTATATATTTCATAACCATCATTATAATATATTTATTTATTATTTATAACAATATTATACAACATATAAATACACAGGTAGATAATGAATGTTATAGATATATATAAAATATATTAAATCATATATTTTCAAAATAATTTATATGTATATCTATTTTAATAATAATAAAAAAAAGATATCCTCCTAAGAATAAAATTTAAAATTCTTGGTCCAAAGGTTATGCACCCCAAATTATTGGCTATTTTTTTCTCTTAAAATAGATGACAACATGTGACAGTTGAATAGAAGCAACAATCAGAATGAATACGTTACTACTCCCTCTGTTGTTAACCTTTCTTATCTTCTCCCAAGCTCACCAACTCTCCGATGAACCACCACCTTCATCCACTGTCTGCATCATCGGCGCCGGAATCGGCGGTTCCTCCGTCGCCCATTTCATCCGCAAATACTCCCCGGAGCTCACTCCCACCACCAAAATCCACGTCTTCGAGCGCAACAGCATAGTCGGTGGTCGCACAGCCACCGTCACCATCGCCGGAGAAACATTCGAAGCCGGAGCTTCCATTCTTCATCCAAAAAACCTCCACGCAGTCAATTACACAAAGCTTCTCAACCTTAAGGCTAAAGAACCAAGTTCGGGATCATTCTCTCTCGGAATTTGGGATGGCGGTAAATTCGTTTTCAAAACGGTTGAAATCAGTAGCAATCTTCCCTTCATCGAGAAGCTTCTCAAACTCGCTTTTGTTGAGAATCTTGTTTCACTCGTCAATTCGGGACTCATGTTTGTTCGCTATGGTTTCTCGCTCTTTAAGATGCAGAACTTTGTTCAGGTACCTATTTAATCGCTTTTTTGTTTAAGTTGATTATTTATTTGTATATAAAAGCAATTGTGTGCTATTGTTGTTTTTCTAATGTAGTTGTAGTTTAGATTGCTGTGGATAGGTTCTCAAAATACTATGAGGAAACTGATTCAAGACCTGTTTTTGAGACTGTGGATGAGATGTTGAAATGGGCTGGTTTGTTTAATCTTACTACCAGAACTCTACTAGATGAATTGGTTGATGTTGGCCTGTCTCCCTTGTTGATCAATGAACTTGTCACGGTGAGAATTCTTGTTACCCTTTACAAATATAGAATATAGATAGATCATAAGTTCAGAATTTATGTGTGTTACCTTGTTTTTTATTGAGTGAATTGGCATTTTATTCATTGAAATGGTAAGAGTATGGTAGAACAACAATCAATATAGAAGATTAAAGAGAAACGTAAGTAAAAGACAATGAACACGATCAATCTTTGTGAACGCGGTTCGGTCAATAGGGCCTACCTCCCAGGCTATAGAGCAACTATAATTTCATTTATTTCTGTCTAATAATTAGGATTATAGTGTTCCAGGCAATATATATAATACTACGGCTTACTTTACAATAATATCTCTGAATTGTACCACCTACCTGGCCTCAATTTATGATAATACCCCTGAACCACAACAAACAAACAGTTGGGCCTAAGACCCATTTGGAATTTCCACACATTGTGTTCCTCTTTGTCTTGATAGGAGCCATAGTGCCATACTCAACAGGGTCCATAATTTAGCCTTTCAAATTTGCAACAAAACAAAACAATTTAGTTAATTAAATTGAACTATGTGATAGAAACCAACTGATATAAAATAAGATATAGGGAAACTCCCTTTTAAAACAGAATGATATTGCAGAACTTCGAGGGTCTGCACCTCCCAAATGCCAAAATGACCCTTTTTCCTATCCAATTCCAAGATGATCATCTCTCTAATATCTTCCCCTATTTATTCTAAACCTAAACACTCTTAATTAATTATATAATAATTCTAATAATTAACCACTAACTCTCCTAATAATTTAATATCAGTTACAAAACTGAAGAGTCTACAATACTCCACCCTAAAGATTCACCTTGTCCTCAAGGTGAAAGAAATACATAGGAAAAATTTATCCTCCCGGATCCCATAATATGAAAAATAAAGGTTGAGTTGTACATGAAATAGGAAATTTTCTTGCTAATGGCAGTCCTCTTGTGACCAGATTTTGTGGCCATAGTGGCACCAGTAGTGGAAATTTCTAATTCCTAGCCTTTATCTTAGGAATAGTAGCAAACACCGACAATAGTGAGTCTTTTGCCTGTGATGAAATAGCCGACTCTCTGTCACTTCTCTGGACCTTTGCTTCACTAGCGGCCATCAATGAATCTGTATTTTTCACTTTGTCGCCTTCGCAATCAGATTTGATATCAACTTTACAAACTTCTTTTTCACTGTATTGTTGGATTTGTGAGTCTTCAACTTTACCACCAATCATTTCTTCGGTTGGAGATGCTATTGGTTCTTGAATTTCATCGCTGCCTTGGATTTCCTGTGTTTCATTTTCAGACTCCAGTAGACAAACCCAAACTTCTGGTTGGAATTTCTTGAGAATGGCCTTTGCAAAATTCCACCAACAAGTATTTGGATGACTCTCCTTCCAAGAAATCCACCAATCGAGGGCATCTCCTCTCAATGCAAATGCCACAGCCCACTCAAGCTTCATCTCTTCACTCATTCTTCTTGACCCAAAATATTGCTCAGCTTGGATCAGCCACCAATAGGCCTCCCTTCCATCAAATCTGCAGCCATATTCATGCCAAAATTTCCAGCATACTGACAAAATCTCTTTTGGATTAGAACTGCTCTGATACCAGTTGATAGAAACCAACTGATATAGAATAAGATATAGGGAAACTCCCTTTTAAAACAGAATGATATTGCAGAACTTCGAGGGTCTGCACGTCCCAAATGCCAAAATGGCCCTTTTTTCTATCCAATTCCAAGGTGATCATCTCTCTAATATCTTCCCCTATTTATTCTAAACCTAAACACTCTTAATTAATTATATAATAATTCTAATAATTAACCACTAACTCTCCCAATAATTTAATATCAGTTACAAAACTGAAGAGTCTAACACTATGATAGTCAATTAATCCTTTCTCCAAATTTAGCACAACAATTTTAAAGATTCCATGCTTGTTTTGATATAGTAAGAGACTATTCAAGTTAATTTTAGGTCTTTCTTTGGTTTTGATGGATGTTTACAAATTAATATTTTGATGGAGAGATTAAACCGCTTGATCCATACAATTTGGAGTTCCAAAATGCTGATTTATTCTAGTTTATTTCAACTGAGAGCTTGTTTGGATAAACTTCTTTCTTGACAAATGCCCATGCAAAAAGAAATTTTGAAAGAATATTGCAGTAACAGTGTATCCTGTAAGTTGAGATTAGCTTATGTCTCTTAATTTTTTAGAAGCTCTCTGGTTTGATTTCTCTATAACCATCTACAAATTTGTAAGGATTTTTTTCTTAAATGAAGAACCATACACTTATTTTGATTGAGAAGCTCTGATCAGTTAGAAGCTAATCCAAATTGGGCATGTGAAGTTATTGTGTTACTTCAGAATAAAATATCCCACAACTGTAGAAAAAGAAGCATCTTAGATTTAAAAAGCTTATCTATTTTGGCCTGTTTATTTATGCAGGTCATCACACGAATTAACTATGGTCAAAGTGTCTACATGAGTGGGTTGGGAGGTGCAGTTTCGCTGGCAGGATCGGGTGGAGGATTATGGGCCATTGAGGGGGGCAACTGGCAAATGGCTGCTGGACTGATTAATCGGTCGGATGTTGCATTACATCTGAACGAAGAAATAAAATCTGTTGCTGACCTTGGAGATTATTATGAACTCAACTCAACAAAAGGAAACAGTTACATCTGTGAAGTTGCTGTGGTTGCCACACCATTGGATGAGATAAATATTCAATTTATTCCCCCAATTTCAATTCCCGAGAGAAAACTACAGCATACACATGCAACTTTTGTCAGAGGCCTTCTAAACCCTGTGAGTAATTAACACCTGATAGTCATAACCTACTATTATGTAGTACATTCTTCTTTCATTTTAGTTGTTGCTGCTACTACTGATGGATATCTTTGTTGTGCTGTAGATATATTTCGGTCTCAAGGTTGCGGCAAAAATTCCAGATCTTGTGGCTACGTTAGAGGACCCTACACTTCCATTTACAAGCATTTCAGTTCTCAAGAAGCACAATGAAGAAGAATCAACTTACAAAATATTCTCTCGTCAACCAATGACAGACTCGTTACTTGATAGCATTTTCAGGTAATAGTATCAACTGTTAATCAACAAATTTTTCGTGTGCCTTGAAACTTAAATTATACTGCTGATTTGTGTAACAAAATCTATTGCACAAACCAGGCCACTTCTAGTTAGAAAAAAGGACTAATCTATAACTTGGGATATCCATGGACTCACACACATCAAACCTACCTAATAAATACAATATGCACTCTGGTTAATCATTTTGCCCTGATGGCAGTATTTATTAGTTTAGCTTTGTATTTAAACTGTCTCTTCTTGTTCTCACAAAAATGAGTATAAGAAAACTTTCCTGATTTCTAATTGTAACTTTTGTTGATTGCTCCTTTGACAGTGTGAGGAAGGAGACAATTCGGATAAACTGGGCTGCCTATCCTCAGTATCATGCCCCAGAAATATTTGCACCGTTTATATTGGATGGGCGACATCTGTACTATGTTAATGCATTCGAAAATGCGGCTAGCACCATGGAGACAAGTGCTGTGGCAGCTGAGAATATTGCCCGACTCATACTCTCGAGATATTTTCGCAAAGTAAGTGTGCATTCTTCTAATTTGAAGGCTAGTTCTCAAGCAGAAGACGTTCATTTAGACTTGTAATACATTCAAAGATTTTGTTTGATTTGCATCTGGAAATACAGGAGAGTAAATCAAGCAATTATAACCAACAGGAGGTTAATCCCTAGCAAACTGGAAGAGATACAACAATGTGCGAAATACAGAAAATACATAATATTACTCTCCCCAGCCCCTTCCTTAGTATTTTATTTGTAATGTTATTATGTTATTAATGGATAGTGGATAGTGCGTGTGATTGTTGAGATTCAAACTTTTAGTGGTTGCATTTTCTGATGAGGATTTCTTTGTACTTGTCAAGTTTCATAGTTAACTGAGATAAACCCCGTTGGTCTGATTGTGTGCAGTTTGAATAGTATGTATAAAACCCTAGATTTAAACTTCATTGTCTCTATTGTATAGTTCAATGGGATTAACAAGGCAGAGGTAATTATTTACAATGTATAGTATGTTATATTTGACTGGAGGGTTAATTTACTAGATTATAATAATAAAATTAACAGTGTTCAGTTATCTTTCTATTGCTTAAACTTTATAGAAAAACTGAAAATCCATCTTACCACATTGTTATAAACTTTACAAAATAAATTTTGTGAAAAGAATACGTTTCTTGCTATTAGTTCACAAACAAATAAAGAATAAGGTGTGTAAAAACAAAATATGATTTTCCTCATTTCATAAATTTATATATACCTCGTTTCATATCGAGTGTTGCTTTAAAAATGGAGGGGGGGAAATTAGTTAATTTTACATTTTTTATAAAACATATATTCCCCCCCTCAAAATATTAGTCTGTGCATCACTCCCATTCTCATTATATACTTATAACAGTGGATAAAACTCCAAAGACAATTCAGTAAAAATATTTCACTCCTTTGGTAATTGATTGTTTTTCCGATTTATTTGTGAAGAAGCCTTATCACATATGCACATCTGTACAAATTAAATGTCATTGCAAATACTAAAACCATTCAAAACTCCAGTAACTGCATAAAGCAACAAAGTTGATAGTGGTTCAGGCAAACAAGAAGACCAGATTCTACACTTTGGTTTGCAAAGCAGTTGACGTGTTTCCGTCACAATATTCTTCAAGCTTCCAATGGTTCCTCCATAACTGTTGCAACATCAGTCATATCAGTTAGCCAATATTTACTATGCTTTTTTTGTTTTCTTTGGGAGAGAGGGGTGGCAGGTTCAGAGGAATGAAAAAATACCTTTGCTTTTTATAGGTTCTTCAGCCTTGGTGACAACTGGTGCCTTGGTTGGGACATCAGGAAGGTCCAATTTTTCACCAATATCTTCAGAAACTGTGGTAGGAACTTTGGGAAGATCATCGACAGCAAGCTGATGGAAATAATATGAATTCATTCAATTGTCATGCAATAAGAATTTATGGGGAAATGATGCAACTGTTGCATATTCATGTTTCTGTGAACTTGATTAATCAACATTTTTTCTGTTCGACATGACTTGCATGTTTCCTTAATACCGTATTCTTAATTTTGAATTCACTCGCTTAAAACTTAGCTTAGAGGTGGACATGCAACTATTGCATATTCATGTTTCTGTGAATTTGATTAATCAACATTTTTTCTGTTCGGCACGACTTATATGTTTCCTTAATACCGTATTCTTAATTTTGAATTCACTCGCTTAAAACTTAGCTTAGAGGTGGACAAACAATTGAATTCAATGTTTCAATTGACAGCATAACTACCAGGTAGTGACATTATGCAGTTAGTTGCAGTACATGTTTATTTATGCTAGATGGTGTACCGCATACCACAAATAACATGGATTATCAAGTAACAAAACTAAATCAAACACATTCAAATTCTTCTAGGCAAAAGTGCTACAGTCCACTTTTTGATAAAATTTTGTATTAAATAGAGTATAGCGGAACAATAGCCATTTGTACAAAACCCACTATGGTATAGTGCTATAGCTGCTATATAACAATTCTGTTAAGCCCGCAAGTGATGAACCTTCATCAACTAACCTTAGCTAATACAATAACATGTCATTCCTCCGGCAAAGAGGTACAGTAAGTGAAAAGTGCTTAATTGAAGCATAGTAATATATATGTCCTTTCTATAAACTATGATTAAAGGCAATAATAGTAGTACAGGTGGAAGAATATGAACGGATTATATTGGAGTAAAATATATGTCAATACAAAATCACGTACCAGGGTTTCCAAGTTCTCAAACTCTGCCAAAATTTCCTCTTCATCTTCTGCTGATAATTGCTCCCCAAGTACTGCATTGATTTCCTTTAAGTTCAACAAAATCATGTAAACCATCAGCAAGTTTCAAATGTAAACAAAAAAAAAAAGAGTTAGGATATTGGAATTGCCGAAGAAAAATTAGCTGCCAAATATTAACAGCACAAAAAGCTCTATCAAAACCACTACAGCTTCAATCCCTAACTAACCTCGTCCCCTAAAAAGCAAACTTAAGTACGACGAATCTAGATGTGGAAATCAGTTTTGAAAAACAGCAAGAGTAAGGATATGAGTAAACTCAAGCTCACATCTTGATAAGCTTTAGCTTCAGCAGTGTCATCCATAAGTTTCTGAACATCCTCAATGTTTATCTCACTTTGTATGGCTTTCATTGCTTCATTTCCAGCCTTTAAACTTTCAAAAACAGACTTCTGCTTGCTTGCCAGTTCAATATCTGCTAACTGAACCCAAAAAATAAACGTAAGCATCTTTTGTAAGTGTGTAATCAAGTTGAAAGAGAACACCAAGGGAAAAAAATCACGAATTGGTTCCATAGACGGGGGCAATTATAAAGCCATAGAAAGATACTACCAGGCAAAGATGCAACCATTAACTATTGGATAAAAACAGAACAAAACAATGAAGCAAACTTTTTTATAAAAAATGACAGAATAATAAAATATTACTTGTTGCTCGACATTTATAAGCCAGGTATCAACTTGCTTCAACAACTCTTCTTGTGTCTTTTTTTTCTTTAATGCGAGCAAGGCCCTATCTTTCTTCTTTTCGCGAATCAAGTCACGTGCAGCTTGCTTTTCTGCTTCAATAACAGCATCAAGCTGGAAAACAATGAACACGCAAGAAAATAGCTCTAGTAAGACAGATTATCCTCGTACATACCTCAATACTTATGTAACTGTTCCATCTAAAATGCAATATCATCAAAAATGACAGCAATGCCCTTCTAAACTTCACCACAGCAATACTTATGTAACTGTTCCATCTAACGTGAAAGTGATCTATAGATTCTATACTTCAGTTCAATCTGTTTAAGAGAGTGATCTATACTTCAGTTCAATCATTTCTAATTTCTAATCTAAAGTTGAATTCAATTCTTCAATTCCCATTTAGCCCTAATAAGTCGTAATACCCAATTATGAGAAATTTCACGTTCACAATAAGAATGTTAGAGCATAAATGAAATAGAGGTAAAAGGGTTTCGAAAAAAGTAACCTTTTGTTGATATTGAGCAAGTTTGCGTCTCTGGGTCTTGAGAGCTAGAATTGCACGATCCACATCTGTTACCTTAGGTTTTTTGACGAATATGTTCCCCATCGATTTCGACTTTGCGGTGTTGATAAGGATGATTTATTGTATGGGCATGGAGTTGAATTGAATCGAATCGATCATAATAGGAATAATAGTGATGATGATGATGATGATGAAATTCGGAAGATGACGATTCAAGTTATGTTGTATTTGGGTTTTTAGTTTTTTCAGTTGGGAAAAACTTCCGTAGGGGGTTTTGGTTTTGGTCGTTTCGAACAGCTGACAACCTGGCCACGCTGGTGCTACCGGTGAAACTATTATTCTGTAAATTCTATTATTAATATAATAAAATAATATATTTATCAAAATTAATTTGATACTCTTTAAAAAATTTAATAAGATATAGACCATTTGCAAGTGTAATAATGATTAATAAAAAAAATTAATAATTAATAGTAGCTTGATTTACATGTGACTGAGTGACAGTGATGGACATAAATGTCTTTTCTGTGGCATATATGTTTGTAGAAGATTAAAAACAAAGTATTAAAAAAATTGATTAGTGCTATTAAAAAGCTTTTATGAACACTTTTAATTTCAGACACAAGAATAGAAATATATAAGAAGAATTTACCTGTGAAGAATTTTCAATTTATTTTCTAGTCTTTGTCTTGTTCAAGCTACGAATCTAAGTGTGATTGTGTTGAAATCAAATCCGTAAAAACTTTGTAATTGAACATAGTCGAAACAGATAGATGATTATTGAAACAGAACTGTAATAAGCAACTTACGAGAGATAAAGAGTTTGGATCTGAGTTTTGAGGTTATGCAAACGAAATCGGAACTATGAAAATATGATAAGGAACCGTGAGAATGAAAGCAGGTTTGTTGTTGTTTGTTTTCATGAGATTTGGAAAGAACAGAGAGTGAGAGATCGAGTTTGACAACAAGGAGAGAAAGATGAAAAGAGAATGAATCGACTGTGAATAGAGAGATGAAAAAAATGGAAGTTTGACAGACATAGGGAGGTATCGTGTGCTTTATTTTAGATATCTTACTTTTAATAATTGATTTAATGTTTTTTTCTCTTTACTATTTTTCTTCTTTAATAATTAGGGTTTTCGATGGGTCTTACAACATCCTTTAGACCCATTCTTTATTTTTATTTAAATTTTATTTTTTCTGTTTTTTATTCACATTATTATTCTATTAGGAAATATCTTAAACATCTTAAACTACTAAAATATATATTTTTTACGGGTCAACACTATTTAATTTGTATATCTTTGATATATATTTGTTAATCATCATTATATTATATTTATTTGTTATTTATAATGATATTGCACAACCATGCAAACACACGGGTAGATAATTAATTTTATATATGTCTGTGAAGTGTACTGATCTGACCTGATCAGAAATGGACCGTCACGGCTGGCTCCGAGCAGAAAGCTTTTTTGAACGAGGTGAGGGGGGTACCTGCAAGGCACTCCGATGCTAAAGTAAGTGGGAGTACGAGCAGATAATAGCAAGTTGAGGTTAGAATGATGAATACCTGACCCTCTGGAAGCAGAGGGTATTTATAGCCCCCAGCGCTGGGCCAAGGTTCCTTCATTGGGTCGGGCAGGTTTGGCCCAATGGAGGAACTGCCAGGTTCTACGTGGGTAGTGGGGACCCGCACGTGGTCCCCTTCCTGGATGTTCTGCGTGAAGTGCGGGCGGACGGAGACGCGGTCTTTCCGGAGTATCATTGGGGGAACAGTGGACTGAGTCTGCCCTAGTTGGGATGCTCGAGGCAATGTCGAGCTGGACAGCCAGGATGTCGAGCTGGACATCAGGGCGTGGAGCTGGACCGCAGTATGTCGAGCTGGGCGTCAGGATGTGGAGCTAGACCGCAGTATGTCGGGCACGGCTGTGAGTCGGGCACGGCTGTGACCCTTTGGTCGGCGTGGTCCTCAGTAAGTCCATTTGGACTGGGCCTTTGCAATGCTTTTGGGCCTGTCGGGCCCAGTCCAGAACAGGAGCCCCCCAAGTCGTGGTTCCTTTGCGAGGAGCCATGACTTGAACTCAAGTCGTTTCCTCGTCGAGGTCTCGCCCGGGACAGAGGTGTGGGACCTCGAGGGCCTCTTCGTGTCGTGCTCGGAGACATCTTCGGTGGTGGATGCGCGGAGGATCCTTACCGGGCGCATCTGTCGAGCATACGAGGTATCTTTCGGGAACTGTGTCGCCACCCTATGGGGATAGGGTCATCATTGCGTTGGGAGCAGCGCGTCGAGGAGATGGAGTCCGTGGTTGCCCGAGGTGACGTTTGGTATTCCACGTCATCACTATAAATAGGAACCTTGGGCCCCCATAATACGTTTCTACTCTCTGTGCTCTCTCTGCTGCTGCTCTTCCAGATTTTCTCCAGTTGCGGTTTTCCGTCACAGATTCTTCTACTCCGTAGCCAAATCCTACTCTTTGATCCAAGTAAGTGATCTATCTTCTTCATTTTTCTGTTTAGAACGCATGATTTATGGCGTTTGTAGATGTTTTAGGGCCGTGCGCGTGGGATTAGCCCGGTAAACTCATGCTTAGCCCGACACATTCATGCCTAGGACCGGCAAACGCATGTTTGTGGTCGGCGCATTCATAGTTTTAGGTGATAAACTTCAGAGCTGCCTGGGGTCTTCATGATCCAGGGCGCATGATTCGTGATCGCGCCCGGTATGTTCATGGTCTTGGCCGTGGGCTTCATGGTGTGGATCGCCATGTTCATACCTTGGGTCGACATGCTTGGAGAGTGACCGCGCAGTTGGTTTGAGGAAGAACACCGGGTTCAGGATGTCGGGGAGGCAACCATTCGTGGAAAACAGACTTATGTAGTCGTGCATGGGACGACGTGATTTGTCGAGCGTATGGCTTCGTGCTCAACTGACTGGTTTCCCGTGCTCTGCAGGTAACCATGGCGGACGAGCCGAGCTCCTCCGGACGCCGCGACCGCGAAGAACAGAGTGCCGACGAGTCGGTCACCCTGATTGATACCGTGACCGACCCTTTGCTGGAATGGGTGGGCGTCGAGCCACGGGGAATAGCGTCGGTCTACAGCCGGGATGACCGACATCCATACGCTGTCATCGAAGAGGGTCACGACCAGCCCGGCTTCCAGAAGAACTTCATAGTCATGCGCCCTTCATCCCGTGCAAGGATTTGCTCGGTTTATCCGGAATACAGCTTCGCGATGTATGAGATCGCGTTCAAAGACCTAGGGCTGCGGCTGCCCTTCACTGATTTCCAGGCCGGGGTCTTTACGCACCTGGAGCTGGCCCCGTCCCAGCTACATCCAAACTCTCTCGCCTTCATCCGGGCGTTTGAGTTGACGTGTCGCTACCTGAGGATCGGGGCGACCATCCCGCTTTTCTTCCGGATATTTCACCTGTAGCGTCAGTCCCGAGGAGGGAAACATAGCTGGGTCTCCCTGAAGCAGTCGAGGAGACTCTTCAAGATGTATATGGACTCCGTGAGGGGGTTTAAAGACAAGTGGTACGTGGTGCGGCCAGTTACCACTTCTGCTTTAAATTCCCTTTTCGAGAAGGAGGAGCCGGTGAGCGACGAGGACGGGGAGGCGATGCTGGGCGACGATGGGAACCCTGTGTTGGGCCGTACGGCTAAAGTCCCTGTGCACTGGATGTCTCGGCATTACGAGCATGGGACCGGTTATTATCATACTGCAGTCGGGGACATGTGCTCGGAAGACGAGCAGGCGTATGGCGCTCTTTGCCGGTTTGTCGATAGTTTCCATCCCGCCCGGTGGGTTACGCGGGAAGGGGATGATATCCTGGACAAAGATGGTTACCCAACGTTCGAGTCCCGTCCGATTGACACCAAGGCGCTGGTGGAGTGCCCGACGTACAGGCAGGCTGCCCGCCTGTTAGGTTGTTTGTTGCTTGAAATTCTTTATTCGTCATCTATTTATGAAGTTTGCTCGATACTGACCTAACCTTTATTTTGTGCAGGTACGATGGCTAGTCGACATGAAAGACTCTTGAAATTATCCTGCGACCAGAGGCGAGGCAGGAGGGTCGTGAAGGCCCCACAGGCGACGAGGATGGGCCCACCACACAGTCTGAATGCTCCTCAGCCGGTGAGGGTGGACTCGCCGTCAAGCTCGGGGCCCGCGTCGGATCCAGAAGTCGAGGAGATCGACCCCAGTGCCGTTTTGATGTAGAGGAAGAGGACCCGTGTGGAAGGTGGTCCGACTGTTGGCGAGGACGCCGGTGCTGTTAAATCTTTCGCCTTCCCCCCTTGCTTCGAAGAGACGGGCTTTTTCAAGCGATTCCCTCCGACAGTGGTTGCCCACGAAGCTGCAGCCATAAAAAAGATGAGTAAAGAGGAACGGAAGGCGTATCTGGCCGCCAGCATGGATGGGCTGGTAAAAATGGCCGAGATGGCTTTGGTGCTATCCGAGGATGGAGGGGATTCTGCCCGTGTTGAAGAACTCGAGCAGGAGAAGGCGGCCCTGACTGCGAGCTCGCGGAAGTTGAAGGTCGCTCTGGAACGCTCCGAGGGGATGTTCCGAGAGCAGACTGTGATGCTCGATGCTGAGAGGGAGATGTTGACCCTGGAGAAGGAGAAGTCGGGGAAGTTGGCCGAGGAAGGGGAGCTTCTTCGGGCAGACAGGGATCGTCTGGTGGCTGAAGTCGAACGTTTGGCCCAATAGGTCGAGGAAATGAATGCTGCCCTGCAACCTGCCGAGGACGAGTCCGAGGACATAGTAGCTTTGAAGAGTCGGGTGGAGCTGGTCGCCCACATCCGACTCCTCGAGGTAGACTGCGTCGGTGCCCTGGAGGACGGGTTCAACTCTGCGGTCGGTCAACTCTCCTTGCTAAACCCTGGCCTGGTCACTGAGGGTATCGGCCACACACACCAGATCGTGGATGGCGTGATCGTTCCTCCGCCCGACTCTCCAAACGCCGACAATGATGATTTCGGGGAGGTCTGAATAGGATAGCGGGCCTGCGTGCCCTTGATATTTGTATTCTTTGGGCCTGCGTGCCCGTTTATTGTACGTTATGAACATCGCCGGCCTTCTTGGTCGGTTTATTATTATTTTGTCGCCTTCGGGCATTTATATCAATGTTGTTTTACGTTTTGGATTTTTTGCCCTTTGTTTGAAATCATATATTTGCATGAATTTTTAGCCTAAGTCATGGGCCCGAGGAGTGCCCGTAAGTGGCTTTGATTTGGCGAGCTAGTCTGCCCGCCTCCGTTTGGCGAGCGAGTCTGCTAAGAGTTGTGCTCGAGGAGAGAGATTTTCCTTTGACCCTTTTGGATGGCCCGTTATCCTTGACAGAATGTTGGGCATTTCGGAGCGAAGTTGCTCAGTCGGGCGTGGAGCCCGTTAGGGACTATTCGCCCTTG